CCCAGCTCTCCAAAACACTTTCATATGAAATATATATATATATATATATACATATATATATATATGCCATGCAATACTCAACATATAAGCACAGAACAAAGAATACATGAACAAACTGGATTTTTTTTTCTCATTTGGGTCCCCCAGAGGCTGAAGGCAATAAAATTAATTTAAAAAGCTTTTCCAGACTAGTGAGAATGTCCTTTTCTTTCTGATGGCTTAAAAACAGATTTGCTGTGATCTTTAATCAGCAATACAAAAAGGAGAGTGAAAAACTTTCCCTCAGGGCACAGAGTAGAACAGCTAACTAAGTTTTTAAAGAGTTCCAGTGGGATCTGAAGAGAAAGTAAGAGCACAAGCCACTTTTTTGAATAGTGACAGACAGGCTAGTCGACCAAAGGGCTATACAGGTTGAAGACAGGTACACGAGTGAGCTGGGTATCATCTAGAATGTCATACACAGGAGAAGACCTATCTATTATCTCTTTTGAAGGTCCATATCTTGCAGAAATGCATGAAGTTCTGGGCAAAAGGGAATTCAGACTATTTAGAGGCATTATAGCAGAAAACTTCAAGTATGATCTGGGAATGTGGCTTAGTGGTAGAGGGCTTGCGTAGCATGCATGAAGCCTTGGGTTTGACTCCTCCATACCACATAAACAGAAAAGGCCAGAAGTGGCGCCGTGGCACAAGTGGTAGAGTGGTAACCTTGAGCAAAAAGAAGCTCAGGGACAGTGCTCAGGTCCTGAGTTCAAGCCCTGGGACTGGTGGAAGGAAGGAAGGAAAGAAGGAAGGAAGGAAGATGGGAGGGAGGGAGAAGTAAGAGTGCTGTCTTGAGGCTAGACTTTTTTTTGGTCAGTCATGATGCTTGAACTCAGGGCCTGGGCGCTGTCCCTGAGCTCTTTCACTCAACGCTATTGCTCTACCACTTTCAGTTACAGAGCCACTTCCAGTTTTCTGGTGGTTAATTGAAGATAAGAGTCTCATGGCACCTGGTTTGAATTGAATTCTTTGTAATATGGCCTGGCTAACTTACACACTGTGAGATCAAGAAATCTAGCCTCTCCTGGAGCTGGTGGCTCATACCTGTAATCCTAGCTACTCAGAAGACCGAGATCTGAAGTTTGTGGTTCTAAGCCAGGCTGGGCAGATTCAGAAAACTGGAAGTGAAGCAAGGGACAGCACCCAGATCCTGATTTCAAGCTCCACGACTGACAAAGAAAAAGAAAAAAAAAAAGAATACAATCCAGGAATGAGTCTGTGAGAATGGGTAGCCTGGCCTCTGGAGAAGAAAGGGAAGGAGTCTTCATTGTTGTCTAAGCAGAACATCCTTTACTTGAGAGAAAATCCCATGAATTTTTTTTTTTGGTGGGGGGGTCAGTCGCAGGGCTTGAACTCTGGGCCTAGGCACTATCCCTCAGCTCTTCAGCTGCGAGCGCTCTATCACTTGAGCCACAGCACCACTTCCGGTTTTCTAGTGGTTTATTGGAGATAGGAGTCTCATGGTCTTTCCTGCCCCGGCTGGCTTTGAACCACGATCCTCAGATCTCAGCCTCCTGAGTAGCTAGGATTACAGGCATGAGCCACCGGTGCCCAGCTCCCATGAAATTTTGAAACCTTGGGCTTAGGCAAAGGGAAGGATTTCTCCCTAGGCCACAATCTAGGCAAACTTTGGGGGAACACTTAGTAGTAATGTGCGGATACGTTCTATTTATTGCCCTATAGGATGAAGCAATACACACACTCTGCAGCCCTCCTCCTAATGCTTCTATTTATTCTAGCATATTTAGTTATAAATCTTTAGGTATTTCTCAAGGAATAGAGTGTTTCATATAATTGAATCAGAGATAGCATGAAGGGAAGCCCTTGAAAAGATCCGGCAGTAAGCCAACAACTAAAGAAATGTCTTAATAATGGTGGAAAGTCATACTTGGAATAAGTTTTGTCTGGGGTAAGGATCTATTTTTTTTGGGGGGGGTCCGGTCGTGGGGCCTGAACTCTGGGCCTGGGAACTGTCCCTCAGCTCTTCAGCTCAAGGCTAGCACTCTACCACTTGAGCCACAGCACCACTTCCGGCTTTTTTCTTTTTGCTTATGTGGTGCTGAGGAATCGAACCCAGGGTCTCGAGCATGCAAGGCAAGCACTCTACCACTGAGCCACCTTCCCAGCTCCAGGATCTATTTTTTAAAAAGCCTAGTTCTATCCAGAAGATTAAGGAGAGGGGAGATCTATAAACGGAAGAGTAAAGCAAAAATGGAAAGTAAAGTAAAGCGTAAAGTAAAATGGAAAGTTCACATTCTGGATGGGATATTGGAAGATAGATAATTATCTCAGAGGTCTTTTATATTTAATGTAAAAGGAATTCTAGAGATTACTTGGATAAAATTCTATTTTTTTTTTTTTTGGTGGGTTGTAGGGCTTGAACTCTGGGCCCTGGTGCTGTTCCTAAGCTCTTCAGCTCAAGGCTAGCATTCTACTACTTGAGCCACAGTGCCACTTCCAGTTGTCTGGTGGTTCATTGAAGAATCTCACAGACTTTCCTGCCCAGGGTAACTTTGAACTGCAGTCCTCAGATCTCAGCCTCATCAGTAGCTAGAATTACAGGCATGAGCCACCAGCACTGGCTTTACTTTTTTAACCAGGGACAAACAAGTACAGCTTTGCATAATATTGGAACAGAATCAGTTCAAACAGCATCTAATAGGGAAAGAGCAGATAGAAGAGCCAAGTGAGTATTTGGTAAAAGAAAGAAACACCTGGCAATTAGTAGCCCTGAAAGAAAGCAAGTAGCATTACATGGGGGAAAACAATCTCAAAGCAAGTCATGCCTAGCTGAGCTGCCTAAAGACAAAATTGGGTAAGGAAAAGAGTCAGAGTGCAAATGGTAGAAAAGTGCTTGCAGAGAGGAGCACACATGGAGACAGAAGTGGGGAAGGTGGATCTGTTTCCTATAGAAATAGATGTGATAGATACCAGAAACACAAGGAAAGATCTGGGTCAGAAACAAGAAAGTAGGAGACTCTGGGTAAAAGGAAAATGTCTGAAAGAGGAGGAGTCAGTGAGTTACCTGACTGTGGATTGGAGTCAGAGATAGTCATATTTGATGTGAGTCAAGAAGTCATCCAACTGATAACCCCAAACATTACCAGAAAGTCAGTATGGCTATCAACCTCAGTCTTTGCACATAGAGAGAAAAGAACTCAGGGAAAACAAATGTAGTGGCAGGAAAATTTATTAAGAAAGAAATACACTTTCAGTAGCCTGAAAGAGGGTTATCTCTAGGGTGACTCTTTGTCATGACCTCTCACCTATAACCTTAGCTACTCAGAAGGCTGAGATCTGAGAATCACGGTTCAAAGCCAGACTGGGCAGGAAAGTCCATGAGACTTCTCCAATAAACTACTCAGAAAAAGCTGGAAGAGGCGCTGTAGCTCAAGTAGTAGAGTGCTAGCCTTGAGAACAAAGAGGCTCCGGGACACAGCCCAGGCCTTCAGTTCTAGCCCCAGGACTGGCAAAAACAAAATGTTAGCAAAATGAGTCCCTTCCTATAGCTTAGTCCACCCCTTCCCTTCTCCACAACTTAGCATGCTCCCTACCTATGCAACACTAGGCCCAAGAAGTATAGGCAGTAAATAATCAACTTCCAACTCCCTTTACTTTGGGATGGTACTTCTCTGGGGCAGCTACCACCATATAAGGCGACAAGAGCCTCTTAGAGTGACCTTCAGGTCGGGGCAGCTGCAGGACCCTTATCTACTTGGATGGCAGCCATAAATCCTAGTCCGCCATGATGAAGCCCCTGGCCCTTATGTCCACACCAGGGTCTCCGCCTCCTAGCCCCTTCTAAACCTCCTAGGTTATATAGATCACCCCAGACAATAGCCGGTGCTTCTTCTTGCTCTTGTGAGAAGAGCTCCTGCCGGTCCAGTTGCTGGCAATAAACCTTTCTCTGTTCTCTGAACCTGGATGTCTGCGTGGTTCTCTGGCAAAGTCTGTTAATCTTAATTTGCTATCACAAAACAAAATAAAAACAAAGCAAAAACAAAAAACCCACTGTGCCAAGGTTGGGCCACCATGCAGGCCATGGTTTCCAATGTCTTGAGGGTGGATAGTGATCCAGGGCCACGCCTGGGGCTATCTGTCCTGTGTCTCAGGTGTGTGGCTCCGAAGCGACAGGACTCCTGGGAAACTCTGGAGGGCTGGCCTGTCAGTATTCCTAAGGCCAGGAGCCTGAGCCTTTCCTGCAGGAAGATCCGAGTGAGAGCCCACTCTCCCAGCCTGGAGGTGTGGAAGGATACAGGACAATGCCAAGCTTTTAGTCTCCAATCTCCTACAAACGCAAATTGACCCCTGCGCAGTCATCCACAGGAACTGTAATCCGTAGGGAAGCGTAGCTTTTTTTTTTTTTTTTTTTTAAGCAAGGACCAGGAGGGCTCAGAGCCTACGCTGCAGTGCCCCTAAACTACATTTCCCAGAAGCCTGTGCTTCTCCTCGGCGGGGACTCCATCACCCTCTTGGGAAATAGGCCAGGCGCCTGTACGGCGCAAAGGCTCCTGGAAAATGTAGTTTGAATCCATTGTGCGCATGCGCATTTCCTGAGGCGGCCGCGGTGGGGGGGGGGGTTGCTCTTTGTGGTGGTCGCTAGTGCTTTCACCGGAGTGTGCTTCGCTGGCTGGGCAGTCCCGCGGGCGATCTCTGCGGGCCGTACCCCTCGCTTACTAGCTTCAAAGCCTGACCCTGTCTTCCCAGTGTTCTTCCGAGGAGAGAAAGACGGGGTGATGGGGGCGTGTGTGGTCTGCAGAGGACGATGGGGTGTGTTTAGTTTGGGGTGCAGCGTGTCGTTGAAGCGTCCGCGGCGGGGGGCGCTGTGAGCGCGCGTACGGCCCGCGTCGCCGCCCTGCAGGCCAGGCCGTCCTCCCTGAGCCCCGGCAGCGCGACCCGCGCCTCTGGACCTGACCTGGGGTCCGCGAGGTCACGGACCTGCTCACTCCTTCTTGAAGCGCCGCTTAGGGTCGCCATGAAAACCCCAGCCCCGACGCCCGAGGCTACAGGTACAGCTTGGCTCCCGTGGTCAGTAGGTTTGTGGATTGGCTTCTGAGATTGCCACACCGTACAGGTCAGAAACACCAGCAGATCCGCTTCGTCCCGAGCCCTTCCCCACTCTCAAACGCGAAGGGAAAAGAACGACCTCGTTTTCCTCATTTACTAAAGTGCCTAGGGACGCTGAGAAGCAGAATTACACCTTGATGTTGGACTAGGTTGTGCCAGATTTGGGGGGCTCTCCCCCGCCCCCCGCCCTGCCTCCTCTCTGATTCCTCACTGTGCCAGCGGTGGGTGGGCTTTAAGTCAGCCGTGACCCCTTGGTTGTGGGCAGATCCGCCCCATTTCTTGATTCCTTTTTCTGTCCCCAGGCCTTTCTGTTCAGAACCTTGCTCTTTTCTCCAAGGAGAAGCCAGAGGATAAATCCAGTAGGGGTCTCCTGGAAGCCAGAGCTGAGGTGAGTAACATTGTTCTTTCCTTCATGAAGAGGATGTGCACATTCCTTGCCCATCTTTGGATATGCAGGCAGCCATTGCCCCAGACCTAGCATCCTGTTCTCTTGGGTGACAACAGCTCTAGTTAAAGATAATTTGGATTCCAGCAGGTGGACACAAGGCAAACTCTCCTGAATGTTCTTGCCAGCCAGATTTAGTCCACCAGGCCCTCGAGGTCTAGGAGTTGTGTTCAGAGCCTTGAGAAGTGAATTTAGTGGAACTCAATCTAGTGTGAGGTCACTTTGCCCACCTTTGCTGTCACCCAGGACCTGGTACAGATCTAGAGCATATTGGGGGAGTTTACCAGTCTGGGATCTGGCAGGGGTGCATGGAAGCACTGGGTAAGAGTAATGGCGGTGCATTCCTGGGTACAGGCTCCTAGAGGTTTAGAGAATCTGCAATGATCCACTAGGGATTGGCCATAAGATCTGCTGCTAATTGTGGAGGAATTTTCCTCCTTTGGAAAGAGATCGTGGATCATGAAAGATTTAGAAGATTGATGATCCTTTGATTTCTTTCTTTTTCTTGTGCCAATACTAGGGCTTGAACTCATGGCACTGACCCTTGGCTTTTTCATTAAAGGCTGGTGCTCTACCACTTGATCTACAACACCATTTTTTGGTAGTTTAGAGTCTCATGGACTCTCCTCCCTGGGAGGAGCCTCACATCTCGGTATTCTGAGAAGCTAGGATTACAGGCATAAGCTACCAGTGCCTGGCTATTTGAAGTTTTGTGTTTTGGAATTCTCAACCCCGGAAAGCACACCATCTCACCCTGCCACCTGCAGACTCTAGCCCCCCAGAGTAGCCAGGGTCACAGTATCCATTTAGCTCTTCTAGTACAGAAAGTGGGGTAGGAGTGTAGGTCAGTTCTCAGCTCCCGACCTGTTCCCAGCCCTTAGCCCAGCCATGGTCAGATTTTTGTGTTTCAGAGGCCGGCTGATGTTCGCTTTGTTCTCACAGGGCATTTATCTATGGCGTGCTTGAGGCAATCTGGGACCTAGAATCCCTCACATCCTGGGTGAGTGAGAATGTGTGTGTCATTTCAGGAATCAGTGACATTCAAGGATGTGGCTGTGGACTTTACCCAGGAGGAGTGGGGTCAGTTAGACTCTCCTCAGAGGGCCCTTTACCGGGATGTAATGCTGGAGAACTACCAGAACCTTCTTGCCCTCGGTGAGCCAATATGCCTCCCTCCACCAAAGCTGCACTTTGCTTTCAGCTTCCTTCCATGTGGTAGCTGCTACAGAGGAACCCTTCAGCACTACTTCTGGTATCCTACATGGCATGACTTAGGAAACATGGTCTCAGCCTCAGGACAACTAGGGTTAGGGGCTCAACCATACCAGAAGTTCCCACAGTGCAGCTGGTAGCTGACAGCATCCTTGCTTGGAGTTGTGGTGGCACCAAAGCAGGTACATCGAGGGGAGGGAGCCCTCCTGAGAGGAAGAAAGGGGTTGACTAAGGATACTTTTTTGAAATTTATTTTCATTTTTATTTTTTTGCTGCCAGGACTGGGGCTTGAACGTAGGGCCAGGATGTTCTCCCTTAGTGGCACTTTGCCATTTTAGCCACAGTTCCACTTCCAGATTTTTGGTGGTTAGAGATAAGAGTCTCATGGGCTTTCTTGACTAGGATAGCTTTGAACCTTGAGCCTGAGAGCTCAAGCCTCCTGAGTAGCTAGGATTACAGGTATGGGCCACTGGTGCCCAGCCATGACTAAAGATACTTAAAACCCATCTGCCTGGAACTTTCGTTAGGAGATCAAAAGGGAAGATGTTCTCAGAGTGTGCACTGTGAATTGGGTCTGCCTGTTAGACAGGAAGCCCTCGCCACTTTGGGGCTCAGAGGGTTCCTTGTCCTTTAGAGATGGCACATAGTTTGCAGTACCTTGTCATTGTCCAAGGGTCATGTGTAAGCTCAGCTGGGCCCCAGAGCTACAGCCCCACCTAGCACCACCCCTCTCTCCCCATGAGCAGGGCCTCCTGTCCACAAGCCAGATGTGATCTGCCACCTGGAACGAGGTGAGGAGCCATGGAGGGTGTACAGAGAAGTCCACACAAGGATTTGTGCAGGTGAGTAGGGTGATAGTCCCCTGAATCCCCGCCTGCCCCCCCCACCTATCTGGCCCTCCCCATAACACTTCTCATTTCCTCCTTAGTCCCACTGCTCAGGCCCCATCTGTGCCTTCCCCATATCCTGATAAACCCTCCATCCCCTCAACATTTATTAAGCACTAGCTATACGCTAGGAACTGTGCTGGGAATACAGCAGTGAGCAAAACTGGCCAAACAAGCACCTGTCCTCTGCTGGTGAGAGACAGAACTACATCTGTATTTTGAGGAGGGATATTATGCCAGCACTGGGGCTTAAACTCAGGACGTGGGCATTGTCCCTTAGCTTTCTCACTCAAGGTTAGCTCTCTATCCCTTGTGTCAAGCTCTATTTCCAGCTTTTTGGTGGTTAACTGAAAAGAGTTTCAGGGGGCTGGGAAGGTGGCTCAGTGGTAGAGTGCTTGCCTTGCATGCATGAGGCCCTGGATTCAATTCCTCAGCACCACAAGCAGAAAAAGCCGGAAGTGGCGCTGTGGCTCAAGTGGTAGAGCACTAGCCTTGAGCTGAAGAGCTGAGGGACAGCACCCAGGCCCAGAGTTCAGGCTCCACAACTGACAAAAAAAAAGAGTCTCAGGGATTTTCCTGCCTGGGCTGGCTTGGAACTGCAATTCTCAGATCTCAGCCTCCTGAGTAACTAGGGTTATAGGCATGAACCATCAGTGCATTACTTACAGCTATGTTTATGTGAGGTGCCCTGTCCTCTGTGACTGAAAGGGAGCTGTAGGTAGGTCTAAGCAGGAAATGGCATGGCTTTTTCTTGACTGTTTCTCAAAAAGAGAAATTTCTGTGGCTCAGTAGTAGAGTGCTTGCCTCACATACATGAGGCTCTGGGTTCGATTCCTCAGTACCACATAAGCAGAAAAAGCCGAAAGTGGCACTGTGGCTCAAGTGGGAAAGCACTAGCCTTAAGCTGAAGAGCTGAGGGACAGCACCCAGGCCCAGAGTTCAGGCCTGCCCCACCACCAGAAAAAAAAAAAAAAGCTGGAAGTAGAGCTGTGACTCAAGGGGTAGAATGCCATCTTTGAGCAAAAAAGTTAAAGGACTGCATCCAGGTCCCCAGTGCAAGCACACACACACAAACACAAAAAGAGAAAATAAACCCAACTTTGGTTCGCATCCTAGCCTCTCCATCTAGCCAAAATTGCATTAAAAAATCACAGTTTTGTTCAACTCAGATATTATGTATCCTAAGAATTAGGATAGTACAGAGAATTGAGATGCCCCAGAATCTTTCCACTCAAAGATAACTGTGTATTACTATTACTTCCCATTTCCTCTCAGCTGATCCTCCAAACAGCCAGCCTGCCACCTGTGCAGGTTTCTTTTTTCCTAGTCATGGGGCCTGAACTCTGGGCCTGGGCACTGTCCCTCAGCTCTTCAGCTCAAGGCTATTGCTCTACCACTTGAGCCACAGAGCCACTTCCAGCTTTTTCTGCTTATGTGGTGCTGAGGAATCGAACCCACAGCCTCATGCATGCAAGGCATGCCACCTTCCCAGCTCAAGGTTTTTTATTTGTCAGTCGTGGGGCTTGAACTCAGGGCCTGGGCACTGTTCCTGTGCTTTTTCACTCAAGGCTAGTGCTCTACCATGTTGAGCCACAATGCTACTTCTGGTTTTCTTAGGGTTAATTGGAGATAAGAGTCTCATGGGGACTTTTCTACCCAAACTGGCTTTGAACTGTAATCCTCAGAGCTCAGCCTCCTGAGTAGTTAGGATTACAGATGTGAGTCACTGGTGCCTGGTGACCTGTGCAGGTTTTATACCTGCAATCTCAATCAGCCTCAACTCAGAATACTTAAAAAAATAAATGTCGGGCTGGGAAGATAGCTCAGTGGTAGAGCGCTTGCCTTGCATGCCTGAGGCCCTGGGTTCGATTCCTCAGCACCACATAAGCAAACAGAAAAAAGCTGGAAGTGGCGCTGTGGCTCAAGTGGTAGAGCGCTAGCCTTGAGCTGAAGAGCTGAGGGACAGCGCCAGGCCCAGAGTTCAGGCCCCATGACCAGACTCCAAAAAAAATAAAATAAAATAAAAATAAATGTCACCTTCCCTGTACATGTACAGACTGTTTTCTTATCAATATTCTCTTAGCAGTATAATACTTATTTACATAGCATTTACATTGGATCAGGTATTCTAATTCATCTAGACATGATTTAAAGTGTACACATAGGCTAGGTACCCATGGCTCTTGCCTATAATCTTAGCTACCCAGAAGACTGTGATCTGAGAATTGCTGTTCAAAGAAAGTCCATGAGATTTCTCTTTAATTAACCTCCAAGAAGCTAAAAGAGGAGCTGTAGTTCAAGTGGTAGAGAACTGACTTTGAATGAACAAGCTAAAGGACATTGCCCAAGTCTTGAATTTAAGGCTCAGTACCGGCACCAAAAAAATAAATGCAGGGGACATGTGTATGTTGTATAAAATACTGTACCATTTTATTTAGGACCTGAGCATCTGTAGGTTTGTCTGTATATTTGGGCCAATACTAGGGCTGGAACTCAAGTTAACTTATTGTTCCTAGCTGATACTTTATAACTTGAGCCTTGCCTCCTGTCTGGCATTTTGCTGGTTAATTTGAGATGGAGTCTCACAGACTTTTTTTTCTTTCTTTTATCAGAGATCATGACTTGAACTGGGTATCTGAAACTTTTGCTGATTGGCAAGCTCCCATTAGTCATGACTCCAACCCCTCTCACAGACTTTCTGGCTGGCTTTGAACTTTGATTCACCAAGTTGCAGCTTCCAGAGTAGCTAGGATAACAGATGTCAGCCAGGAGCATCCAGCCATTTGATCTTTAGTGTCTGAGAGATCCTGGTACCAATCCCAAAAGTACTGTGGGATGAATCCATAGATAGGTATGTTTTTAAAACACGCACCTGGACTGGCCATGTACTTTGCCATTTCACTGGCTTTATGAACCACTGTGCTACGTGTTGGGATGTGCTTGTTACTGGTTGTATAGTATCCCTTCTTATGGATGCTGTCATTTCATCAGCCCTAATTGTTACCATACCTCTTTTTTCCCTAACCTGGACCCCTTCTTTTTTTTTTTTTTGGTTGGTCATTGGGTTTGAACTCTGGGCCTGGGCACTGTCCTGGAGCTCTTAGCTCAAGGTAAGCACTCTACCTCTTGAGCCACAGCATCACTTCTGGTTTTCTGGTGGTTAATTAGAAATAAGAGCTTCATGGACTTTGCTGCGTGGACTGGCTTTCAACTGCAATCCTCAGATCTCAGCCTCCTGAGTAGCTAGGATTACTGGCCTGAGCCACCGGCACCCGACCCCTTCTCTTTGTTGTACAGGCCTTCTACAGACTTGTCAACTACTTGGTAGCTGGGATTACAGGTGTGCTTTACCTTGGGTTGGAGAGAATGCTATTTATTTTTTTTTGTGCTGGGGGCTTGCCCTCAGGGTGCGGATGCTGTCTGCTGTCTCTAACCTTCATTTCGCTCAAGGCTAGTGACCTACCACTTGAGCCACAGCATTACTTTCAGCCTTTTCTGAATAGTTTGTTGGAGTCTCACAGACTTTTCTGCCCTGGCTGCTTTCAAATCTTGATCCTCAGATCTCAGGCTCCTGAGTAGCTAGGATTACAGGCATGAGCCAGTAGTGCCTGGTGCTTATTTCTTTAGACAAGTATACATCAGTACCTGATGTATCTGCTGTGGCCACTTGGCAGCCCATCACTGAGTGACATTGTATCTTGACCCCCAGACTCCCTGAGGGGGACCCTTTCTCAGCCCCTCATTACTCAATTGAGGCTGCACATTGTGGCGATCTCCATGGTTTCTCCGTCTCACTGCATCTTCACATTCTTCCTGGCTCCTTCTGGCTTTCTCCTTTTTCCTTCCTTTTTGATTCTGTGCATAGTTTACCCTGGGTGTCTTCTTTGACCCTCTGTGTCATACATTTGAGCTCGTTGTCTCTCTTGGTGTCTCCAGTTGGGATTCCCAGGCCACCCTTCCCCCTGCTCCTAGAAAATTCCCTTTTGGATCTCTTACAGAATGGGAACCCAAACCTACAATGAAGGGGGAGGACTCTGCACAGCAGAACAGATGCAAAACACAAATGGCCCAGGAGTGGCTTCTGGAGCAGCTGCAGAGGCCCAGTGTGGGCAGGGTACAGGCCTGGGAGGCTGTGCCCCGAGGGGACATCATCCTCCCAGAGAGCAGGGGACACGGTGGGTCTGAGGAGGGTACCCCCGGCCAGTGTCCCCGCACCGCCACGCCCACCGACCTTGCAGGAGGACACTCACCTGTCAGATGCCCCCCAGGTGCCCAGGGCACCCGGGAGCTAGACCAAGGCCACCAGAGAGAGTGCCCCGGCACCGAGGACTTGCGATCGGCCATGTCAAGGCAATCACCGCCGCCGCCTGAGCGCAGGAGGCGGAGCCGGGCGGTGGCAGGGCCTGGCGCGTTCCCGTGCGCCGAGTGCGGGAAGGCGTTCCCGCAGAGCGCCGCCCTGGCGCTGCACCGGCGCTGGCACCGGCGCGAGAAGACCTACACGTGCGGGGAATGCGGCAAAGCCTTCCCGTGGAGCACCAACCTGGTGGAGCACCAGCGGCGCCACACGGGCGAGAAGCCGTTCTCGTGCGGCGAGTGCGGCAAGGCCTTCAGCTGCCGCTCGTCGCTCAACGTGCACCGCCGCACCCACACGGGCGAGCGGCCGTACAAGTGCGGCGCGTGCGCCAAGGCGTTCAGCTGCAGCTCGCTGCTCGCCATGCACCTGCGGGTGCACACTGGGGAGAAGCCGTACGCGTGCGGCGAGTGCGGCAAGGCCTTCAACCAGCGCACGCACCTCACCCGCCACCGCCACGTGCACTCAGCCGAGAAGCCGCACAAGTGCAGCGCCTGCGGCCGCGCCTTCACCTGCCCCTCGTCCCTCGCCGCGCACCAGAAGACCCACAGCGGGGACAAACCGTTCCAGTGCGGCGACTGCGCCAAGGCCTTCCGCAGCCGCGCGCGCCTCACCCTGCACCGGCGCAGCCACACCGGGGAGAAGCCCTTCCCCTGCCCCGAATGCGGCAAAGCCTTCAGCTGCCACTCGTACCTCGTGGTGCACCGGCGGATCCACAGCGGGGAGAAGCCGTTCAAGTGTACCGACTGCGGCAAGGCCTTCAACTCGCACTCCTACCTCATCGTGCACCGCAGGGTGCACACCGGAGAGAAGCCGTTCGACTGCAGCACCTGCTGGAAAGCCTTCAGCTGCCACTCGTCGCTCATCGTGCACCAGCGGGTCCACACCGGGGAGAAGCCCTACAAGTGCCCGGTGTGCGGCAGGGCCTTCAGCCAGAACCACTGTCTGATCAAGCACCAAAAGGTCCACGCCGGGGAGAAAGCCTTTCAGTGTAGCCAATGCGGCGAGGCCTTCGGCTGGAGCTCGCACCTCCTGGAACACCAGAGGCTGCATGCTGCAGAGAGACCCTTCTCCCTGCAGCTGGGCGGCCACTTGCTGAGCACCTACTATGTGCCTGGAGACCTGCTAGGCACGGAGGACACAGGCGATCGGGATGTGGATGCCGTGAATGCACTGGATGTGGCAAAGCTCTTGTGTGTGGTGCAGCCACCACCTAGCAGGACTTCACCGCTGGGAAGTAAGGCGGGCAATTAGGGAGGGTGCCCTTGGTCATTGGAGCTGTCCTGAGCTCCACCATCACTAAGGAGCCTTCACTGCTTCTATGTTTTTGGACCCCCATTGCAAGGCCTGGTCTCTGGTCTCAGATGAGACCCACAAGCCAAGGCTCCACGGCCTCCCAACCCCCCACCCCCTCGTTAGAGCTTCCAGTCGCTTCCATCCTGTTTTCCTTGGATTGGAGGTCATTAACAAGGAGGGTGTAGCCCGCAGACAAAAAAAGATATTCTGGGCCTGTGGCTCACACCTGTAATCCTAGCTACTCAGGAAGCTGAGATCTGAGGATCAGGATTTGAAGCTAGTTGAGACAAAAAAGTCTGTGAGATTCTTTTTCTTTTGGGTCCGATGGTGGAGCCTGAACCCTGGGCCTGGGTGCTGTCCCTCAGCTCTTCAGCTCAAGGCTAGTGCTCTACCACTTGAGCCACAGCACCACTTCTGGCTTTTTTCTTTTTGCTTATGTGGTGCTGAGGAATCAAACCCAGGGCCTCATGCATGCAAGGCAAGCACTCTACCACCTTCCCAGCCCCAGTCTGTGAGATTCTTATCTCTCATTAATCACGAAAAAAGGAACTGGAAGTGGAGCTATGGTTTAAGTTGTAGAGTACTAGCCTTGAGCAAAAGAAGCTCAGGAAACAGCAAGCACCCAGGCTCTGAGTTCAAGCCCCAGTATTGGCACACACACAGAAAGAAAAGAAAAGAAAGAAAGAAAAAGACATTTCAGGTATGCAGTCCTTGAATAGTGTTATGGTTTTCCATCAGTAATTTCCTCTTTTTTTTTTTGCCAGTCCTGGAGCTTGAACTCTGGGCCTGGGCACTGTCCCTGAGCTGCTTTGCTCAAGGCTAGCATTCTACCACTTGAGCCACAGCGCCACTTCCAGCTTTTTCTGTGTATGTTGTACTGAGCAAGCAAACCCAGGGCTTCATGCATGCTAGGCGAGCACTCTACCACTAAGCCACATGCCAGCCCTTCCATTTTTGTTGTTGTTGTTATTGTTATTGTTGCTGCTGCTGCTGCTGCTGGTCCTGGGGCTTGAACTCGGCCTGGGCACTGTCCCTGAGCCTCCTTGTGCTCAAGGCTAACACTCTACTCTACCACTTGAGCTACAGCACTACTTCTGGCTTTTTTGACTAGTTTATTGGAGATAGGAATCTCACGGGGACTTTTCTATCTGGGCTGGCTTCCAATCACAATCTTTAGATCTCAGCCTCCTGAGTAGCTAGGATTACAGGTGTGAGCCACCAGCACCCGGCTAGGGATTCCCTTGTAAACTTCCATTCAGAGTAATAATAAAACAAGAGTTACCAACAGTACAACCCCCACTGGAGGGGAGAAGAATCTTAGATGGTAGGTATTTGGAATAAAGCAGATTTCCCAGACTTGCTTCAGGCAAGTAGCTCTGGGGTAGAGCTGCAGTAAGTTAACTAGTGGGTCCCCATGGCAGAACCAGGATTGCCCTGCCTCCTGTGACCACATCTTCATGTGTCAACAACATCATACCTTGGCATTTAATCCCTGATCCCAAACTGAGAGCCCTCAAGAGAATCTTAGCGTAGCCTGGCTTGGAAGGTGGGCACGTGCCTGGGGCAGATGTATCTAGAAGCTGGCCTTCCCTGGTTAGTGCAAGGCAGGTACCTCACACTACGAGCACCCTCCATCACCTCTCTTTTCCCTCATTTAGTTTTTTGTTGGTTTTTTTGTTGGTCATGGGGCTTGAACTCAGGGCCTAGGCACTGTCCCTGAGCTCTTTTGCTCAAAGCTAATACTCTACCACTTTGAGCCACAGATTCACTTCTGATTTTTGAGATAAGAGTCTCATGAAGACTTTTCTGTCTGAGCTGGCTTTGAACCATGATCCTCAGATCTCAGCCTCCTGAGTAGCTAGGATTACAGGCCTGAGCCACCAGCGCCCGGCTTCCCCCACTTACTTTGTCAGAGGGAAGGGTCCTCTATAGGCCTCAGTAAGGCAGCTGATTTCATGCCATCGCACAGTGGATTGTGGGAACAGCAACCCTCCTCTATCCCCATGCTCCACCCACACGAAGACAGTATAAATGTCCCACCATTTAAGATAAAGTTTTGTCCTGATAAACCCATTGTAGATTGAAAACATGTTTTGTGTGTGCCTATACTGGGCTTTGAACTCAGGACCTGTGTGCTGTTCCTTAGCTTTTTTTTTTTTTTTTGCTTTTTGGCTCAAGGCTGGTGCTTTGTCACTTGAACCACTGCTCCACTTCTGACTTTTGCTTAACAGAATAACACTGTAGTATATGATTGTTTACCCTCATGACCATATGACCCCCTGAGAGCTGCAGCTCAGTGACACTGCCTGGCATTTAAGAGAGAATCAAAGGGCATAATCACTAGCCTAAGAATAAAACAAAATTCAAAGTATGGTTTCTACTGAATGTGTCACTTGAACACCATCATAAAGTTATAGCATTAGAAATTGAACTATTGAAGTCACGTTTCATGGATATTAATCTGCAATCTATTTCTACCTAATCCTATGCAAACATGAGCTGCCTTTCTCCATGGTAATAGTTTGAGTTTTGTACAGAATGATATAGTTAATAAAAATGCTTTTCTGTGAACTTTTTTAAATTACAGAGATAAAATAACCATGTTTTAGAAAAGTGTAACTTAAGGAAAATAAAACACCAGGAATTCTTTGCACCTTGATGCATTAACTTTGTTTTTTCTTTTTCTTTCTTTTTTTTTCCCCAGTGTTGGGGCTTGAACTTAGGGCCTGCGCCCTGTCCCTGAGCCTCTTTGTGGTCATGGCTGGCGATCTACCATTTGAGCTATAGCACCACTTTTACCTTATGCTGAGTAGTTTTTTCAAGATAAGAGCCTCTGGGACCCAGGTATCAGTGGCTCATGCCTGTAATCCTAACTACTACTTAGAAGGCTGAGATCTGCAGATCTGAGGATTATGGTTTAAAGCCTGACCAGGCAGGAAAGTCCATGAGACTCTTATCTCCAGTAACTACTCAGCAAAAGCCAAGAGAGTGGCACTGTGGCTCAAGTGGTAGAGTGCTAGCCTTGAGAAAAAAGGAGCTCAGAGACAGTGCCTAGGCCCAGAATTCAAGCCCCAGTACTGGCAAAAAAAAAAAAAAAAAAGTCTTTTCTGCTTAGGCTGGCTTCAAACTGTGATCCTCAGATTTCAGCCTCCTGATTATAGGCATAAGTCACTGGCACCGAGCTCATGTAACAGTTTTACAGTACTTTAATGATAGTGTGGGGTGCAGGCATAGGGGTGCAGGCCTGCAACTTCATCTAGCTACTTGGGAGGCAGAGGTAGAAGGATCGAGGTCCAAGCCTGGCCCAGATTAAAGCACAAGACCCTATCTGAAACAGAAAAGAAAGCAAAATGAGTTGGAGACATGACTGAAGCAGTAGAGCATTTGCCTGAGTTCAAACCCCAGTACTGCCCCCAAAAGGACTTATAGATTTTTTTTCTTTATTCACTTAGCTGTGTAACTCTCTTTTCCCCAAATAATTAAATGTCCTTGTTATAAGTTTAAATGGCAGCATGCTGGTTTATTGGATATTCTTAGACGTACATGTTATTTTACTCCTTATCATTAATTATGTTATTCAAAGAGCCCCTTTTGCCTTATACTTAATGTATGTACATGCAAGTGTGTGTCCATATCTGGACTTGAACTCAGGACCAAGTTATACTTCTTAAGAGTAGATTTCTAGAAGTGAAGATTTTGAGACAAAGGAAATGCACATCTTAAGGGATTAAGGTTTGTTTCATTTGGTTGTATGCTTTGAAAGCATATAATAATTCATATAATAAGTCAAGTTGAATTATTGAGAAATCAGTTTCAGAAACTAGGCTTTGCTATACATGCCTGTCTTCCTAACTATGGGGAGGCTGAGATCTGGAAAACTGTGGTTCCATGCCATCTCAGGCAGAAAAGTCTAGCTTCCACCTCAATGAAAAAAGCTTCCTGGGTGCTGGTGGCTCACACATATCTATAATCCTAGCCATTCACAAAGGTGAGATCTGAGGATCATGGTTCAAAGCCAGCCAGAGCAGAAAAGTCCCCATTTCCAATTAACCACTGAAAAACCTGAAGTGGCCCTGTGGCTTGAAGTGGTAGAGCACTAGCCTTGAGCAAGAGTCAGGGACAGCACCCAGGCTCTTGAGTTCAAGCCCCACAACTGACAAAGAAAAAGAAAGAATGAAAGAAAAAAGAAAAGAAAGGGGGATGGGGAGGATGGGAAGGGGAAACAAAGGAGGAGGCTACAATGCTTGATAAGAAATGTACTCATTATCTTGCTCATGTAATTGTAACCCATCTGTACAGTATTTTTACAATAAAAAAAAAAAGGAAAGGAAAGGAAGAGCTGGGTGCTGGTGGTTCACACCTGTAATCCTAGCTACTCAGGAGGCTGAGATCTGAGGTTTGTGGTTCAAAGCCAGCCTGGGCAGGAAAGTCTGTGAGACTCATCTCCAGTTCACCACCAGAAAACTGGAAGTGGTGCTATGGCTCAAAGTGGCAGAACAATAGCCTTGAGTAAGAGTCAAGGACAGCACCCAGGCTCTGAGTTCAAACCCCACAACTGACAAAAAAAAAAAAAGAAAGGAAGAAAAGGAAGGAAGGAGAAAGGAAGGAAGGAAGGAGAAAAAAGAAAGGAGAGAAAGAAAGAAAGGAAAGAAAGAAAGAGAAAGAGGGCTGGGAATGTGGCTCAGTGGTAGAGCGCTTGCCTTGCATGCATGAGGCCCTGGGTTCGATTCCTCAGCACCACATAAACAAAAACAAAAAAGCCAGAAGTGGCGCTGTGGCTCAAGTGGTAGAGTGCTAGCCTTGAGCTGAAGAGCTGAGGGACAGTTCCCAGGCTCTGAGTTCAAACCCCACAACTGACAAAAAAAAAAAAAGAAAGGACTGGGCTCTGGTGTTTCATGCCTGTAATCCTAGCTATTCAGGAGGCTGAGATCTGAGGATCATGGTTCAAAGCCATCCCA